AATAGTGCAATTTGTGGTTAAAAAGTACATAAAATTTTCATTCTTTTTAGAAAATGGCCAATCGTTTCGCTTGATAAGACCCTTATTCCTCGACTGGGATCTTATAGAGCCCTTTGAAGCTGCACTGAAACTGCAATTTGGCCCTTCAGCCCGTTGGCCATCATTGAAGTCCAGTATATGTCCTGGAATGTTTTCCTCAAAAACCAAATTTCTTTGCGACTGAAGACAGAAAGACATGAACATCTTAGAAGACATGGTGGTGAGTAAATTATCAGGAAATTTTTATTCTGGAACTAATCCTTTAAACAGCATTATACCACAAATGCTTTTGACTGAAATCAGCTTGTACCAGGAATATTGCTTTAAGAATCAAAATTACAATATTTCATTGTTACTTCTTTCTCCATCAGATCAATTTCTACTGTGGTATTTTCATGCTTTCCTGCATCAGTCTTGACCGCTACCTGTCCATCGTACATGCAGTGCAGATGTATTCTCGTAAAAAGCCAATGGTGACTCACTGTTGCTGCCTGATGGTCTGGCTCTTCTGCCTTCTGCTCACAATTCCTGACTGGATATTCCTTGTGGCCACTGAGGACACCAGACGGCAGGATAAAACAGAATGTGTTTTGTTTTACCCGTCTGATTCTTGGCATCTGCCCACTCGTCTGCTCTACCATATTTTGGGTTTCATTCTTCCAGCACTAATAATGCTGTTCTGTTATTATCACATCCTGAAGAGGCTGCAGCATGGCTCCCAGTGCATGCAGAAAAAGAGGGCCATCCGTGTCATTGTAACCCTGGTACTGGCCTTCTTTATCAGCTGGACGCCATACAACATCACTCTCATCGTTGACACCATACAAACCAATAAGACCATCAATCTCAGTAATCAAACATCCTGTCAAAGTGCCACAGCATTAGATGTAGCTCTCACAGCTACATCCACATTGGGCTACTTACACTGCTGTGTCAATCCAGTGCTTTACGCTTTCGTGGGGGTGAAATTTCGCCAACACCTGCTGGACATGCTGAAACCGCTGGGCTTCACGCTGATGGGACCAGCGGTTCCGGTGTCACGGAGGAGCTCTTTATGGTCAGAGTCAGTGGACACCTCACACACGTCTGCTTTCTGAAATATCATATGCCATCAAACTCATACAGGTATATGTACAATCAGTCAGCATGTCATCTTTTTAGCATGCAATCTTTAACATCTGTATCAGTCAGAGGAGTTTGGCTTTATGTACACAAGCGTTGCCATTCACACCAAGGACGATAACTATAGCAATAACTAGTCTTAATAATCATTATAATTGTATGAGTATATGGAAGTCCACATCACAACTATAACAATACCATTATATAGAGGAACAATTTCGTTGGAATCACTGGAATGATTTTCCAAATGATGAATGAGAAAAAACATTGACAGCCAATCAAAATTCATGCAACTTTAAAGAGCTCGAGCATTTAAAGCTGCAGATGACAAAAATGTGGTGTACGTTTATGATAGGGCTTGGCAAAAAATCGAATGCGATTTTCATGCGATTCATTGCCGATTTTGAACGCGATTTTGTGTAGCTTGTCAGTGAACTACGGCTCTGTGTAGTAAATGCCGCTCCATCTGAAAGCACGTGCTGGAGATTTACTACTAATCACCAGAAGTGGCTTTACTGACGAGATGCGCATGAAAATCGCATTCGATTTTTTGCACAGCCCTAGTTTATGATAAACAAACTTTATCTTTTGTTGGTGTGGACACTAATATTTATCTTCATAGTTATCTTTATAGTTATCGTTCTTGGGGTGAACAGGTCTTAAAGGAACACTCCACTATTTTTGAAAATAGGCTCATTTTCCAACTCCCCTAGAGTTAAACAGTTGAGTTTTACCGTTTTCGAATCCATTCAGCCGATCTCCGGGTCTGGTGGTAGCACTTTTAGCTGTAGCTTAGCATAGATCATTGAATCTGATTAGACCGTTAGCATCTCGCTCAAAAATGACCAAAGAGTTTCTAAATTTTTCCTATTTAAAACTTGACTCTTCTGTAGTTACATCGTGTACTAAGACTGACGGAAAATGAAAAGTTGCGATTTTCTAGGCCGATATGGCTCTCATTCCGGCGTAATAATCAAGGAACTTTGCTGCCGTACCATGGGTGCAGCAGGCGCAATGATATTACGCAGCACCTGTAAATAGACTAACTTCCGTCAACATAAAAAAACGTGACCACCTGCTTGCACAGGGAGCGTGCTGGGGACTATTTTCAGGCACTGTTAAATATCATTGCGCCTGCTGCACCCATGGTACGGCAGCAAAGTTGTTTTTTTTGGAAAATTTTTTGAGCTAGATGCTAACGGTCTAATCAGATTCAATGATCTATGCTAAGCTAAAGTGCTACCGCCAGACCCGGAGATCGGCTGAATGGATTCGAAAACTGTAAAACTCAACTGTTTAACTCTTAGGGGAGTTGGAAAATGAGCCTATTTTCAAAAATAGTGCAGTGTTCCTTTAAGTCTCATGACAGTGCTTTTTAGTATGCAGAATGCATGATAAAGATGAACATAGAGCAGTCTTGTTTAATCTTACTTTCAGATATTTTTTTCCATGAGACCAGGTAGGATATTTCTCTTTGCACATGTGGCAGCTACTGTAGGTTCTCAACTGTTTTGCATTTCTCAAGCATACTGACTCTTTACAGCTCACACATTTTAGAGAGAGATAAAAAGTTTCTATTTTTGTCATAATGGCAGATTTTTCCAATAGATCAGGCATTTGACAAAGCAAAAATAAAAAATTTATTTTACTATTTTACTATTATATATTGTTATTGTGTGTATTGTCTAATGTGTTCCTGATTTTGTTTGTTAATTGTCTTGTTTTTTGTTGTTGTTGTTTCTATGATATTATGTTTTTATCTTGATTTTCTGTAAATACATTTTCAAAACATATGTCACGTGAAGCAGAACTGGGCAAATGTGTATTTTGGTGCTTATTGTCTTCTTATATGCTCCTATATTTTGAGGAATAACTTGAACCTCCTTTTTTTTTTTTTGTGCTAGCATAAAACCTGTAGCTACAATGTGAGAAGTCTTCTTTAATGCTGTAAACTGGGATATAATAAAATACAAGAGAAATGATGTATGAAGAGAAGTTATATATGAAACTATAGATGAATATAGATGTTTATATATGACAATCATGATCACGATTTAACTAAATTAAAATGAGGGAACAAATTTGTTTGCCTGCTTAAAATGAGGTAATGAATTAATAAAATGTGGCCAGGATTTAACTAAAACAAGAGAAGAAACAAAGAAAACGCCGTGAATCAATAAATTGTATGAATTAATTCTTAACTTGTGGCCACCATATCAAGGCCAAGGCATGGACTCTACAAGACCCTTGCCGGTTCCTGTGGTATCTGGCACCAAAATGTTCACAGTAGATCAAGTCCTGTATGTAGGCAGGGCCATAGCTGGGGTAGAAAGTGGCCCTGGTTAAAATCACCGTGGGCCCTCCAATAGCTGAGGGCCCCTAGAATCATAACCAAATTTCACCTGCTAGCAAGGGCCCTGACTGTAGATTACGAGGTAGAACTGTCTTGGATCAAACTGCTTGGTCCAGCACATGCCACAGATGCTCAATAGGATTGAGAACTGGTAAATATGGAGGACAGGGCAACTTCCTGAATTCTTGAATTCATCATGTTCTTTATACTATTCCTGAACAATGTGTGCTCTGTAGCAGGGTGCATTATCCTGCTGAAAGAGGCCACTTCCACCAGGGAACACTATTGTCATGAAGGGATGTACCTGGTCTGCAGCAATTTTTAGGTAGGTAGCACATATCAAATTTATGTCCACATGAATGGCCAAGGTTTCCCAGCAGAACATTTAAAGTTAAACAGTGCACACATACAGTACGGCTGTCCAAACGACAAAGGTGACATGTTTCATGTTGCAATGCCTGCTGGGTGCACCATACAAAACTCATCAATGGCTCCCAGCATGCATTGCAGCATGAATCATCTCACCATTGCTGTGATTCATACATTCTTGATGTCTGTGTCAGAATTAGTTAAAATCCAAATTCAGAATATCCTATCTGTAGTTTCTCAACACTGTAAAAAGTTATCATAATTGTAACAGTAGAAGACTGTAAAAATGCTACAGTAAATGCCTGTTAATTGGTTATCAGCAAGTCCATACTATAAACTGTGAATAACTAAAATACTGTTAAAATAAAAAAAGAACATTTGTGACCCTGGACCACAAAACCAGTCATAAGGGTCAATTTCTCGAAATTGAGATTTATACATCATCTTTCCCAATTACCAGTTCACCCGGCACAGAAAGTGCTATGAGTATCACACAGGAAGAAAGTACTTCCTCCAAAAGGTTTCAGAAGATCACTTGGTTATGCAACATGGGAAAAGAATCCTTTATGACCCCTATCTCACAGAAAACTACACAAATGTCAAATCCTTATTCTCTTATTATCTGATGAGCAATTAATAAAGTAATTTTTTAATATATGAATATTCTGAGCTTCACAAAATGAGTAGAACATAAGCTCTACTAAGGAAACTACTTCAAAGTTAAAATAGCACTGTGTTCCTTTATACACTTCTTAAAACTTATGAAGTAACAGAACACACCCTTCCAGAGACCACCGACTTCTAAAAAAAAAACATGTAAGAAACTACTAAGCAACTGACATGACTTCCTGTCATGGGAGCAGAAATGATCTTATTTTTTATCTTATTCATCAGCAGATCCGCTGATGGTACTGATTAAAATTTAGCACACTTTAACACATTTAAAACTGTTTCTCCCACCTGCAACAGATTTAATAGACAGAAATAAATTTATGGTACAAACATAAATGTAACATAGATGATGATAATAATAATAATCTTTATTTTCTATAGCACCTTTAAATGTTACATGTCAAAGCGCTTTAGATAAATGAATAAAATAACAAAATATACCATATAAAAATTAAGAAGAGAAGAAATACACTCAAAACACTTAAAAATAGAATAATATGGACTTCATACAAAAATTCAAGTAAGATCTACCCTAAAGAAATGAGTTTTAAGGCGAGATTTAAAAATGCCAAGGGATTTTGCTTGCCTTATCTCAATAGGTAAAGATTTGCATAGTTTTGGAGCAAGTGAAGAAAAAGCCCTATCTCCCATCGATCTTAAACGGGTTGACAGAACAGTTAACAGACCAGTTTCAGATTTCAGTTTCAGGTCATGCTTTGGGGTGTAGGGAGTTAAAAGCTCTGACAAATATTGAGGTGCCAAACCATGCAAAGCCTCATAAGTTAGCATGTTTAAATGGTTGTAAAATGTGACATTTCGTGTGTTGTGCAATTGTAATTAAAAGTACAATAATTGTCACAATTACATATATTTCAATTTTTGTAAAATGTAAATGTCACAATTACATATAAATACACTATAATAATATATATACACGCATACATGTAGGTACAAAAGTTTTGAATACTGAAATGAAGATTACACACAATAGTTATTTAAATTTGACCAAAAAAAAAAAAGAAAGAAAGGTAATTATCCATTGAAAATGATTTTGTAATTGAGTGGGAATGAAGACATCTGTTAACCAAGCAAGTGGGCACAGAACCGACCAATGGCCAAATACTGGCTGATAATATCAATCCATTACTAAAAACATTGTTCCAGAACATTATTCCAAAACATTAACAGCACAGCGAAAATAAATAAACATACAATTTGACCAAATAAAATGTAATAATTCCCAGTATGATCATTTTACTGATTAAATTAAACAGAATTAAAGTGCAAATGAGTTGGCCAGCATTTCATGTCCTTCCTTCATGTCCATCTTTTTAATTTCATCCTTTATCATCCATAATGAGAGAATATTCCAGAATACATGTACAGAAACCTTTGGAGGACTGGGCTGACTGGGTTATTCCATACTTAGTGATATCTATTAAATGCTCACATGTTAAATGAAGAATGCATAACATACATTTTAGGAATTACGAGATACAGTGCATCCAGCAGTCAATGTTTTATGATCCATATTTTTCATGTATCATGATCCTGGGGTTTTATTGTTGAATTAATGTCATTCATAGGTTGAAGTGAACCTTGTTCCTCTTGGACAGATGCGTTTCTATTTACTACACTAGAGTCCCAAAGTGAAACATCATTACTCTCTGTTTTACAAGCACTGAACTTTGTCATAGTCAGTACACGATGCCGGAACTCTTTGGAGAGACAGAGGTAAATGACAGGATTAACAACACAATGGAGAAGCCCAAAAACTGCCGTTATTTTGCTAGCTGTCCACTGCCTCCCTTCACACTCTTCTGCCACTGCTGAAGAGACGCTCTCTGATGTCTGAACAGTGTTCACGATGAAGGTAATGTTGTAGGGTGTCCAGCAGATAAAGAAAACCAGCACAAGGACTGCAATGATAGCTGTCCTTTGGCCCTTCTTCTTCTGCTGGCACTTTGAGTTGTGCCGTAACTTTAGTAGGACAAAGGAACAGCAGCACAGCAGCGCAAGTACCGGTAGAACAAAAAGATGCGGAAAACGAGAGGCAAGATGCCAGGAATCGGGCGGATAAGAGTGAATACATTCCCGTTTACCCTCATTTGTGCCACTGATGGGGCTCAGAAAGATCCAATTAGGGATGGAAAGGAGCAGGCAGAGGACACAGATAATCAGGCAGCAACAGTGAACCACCACAGGCTTTTTACAAGAAAACAGCTGTACTCCATGGACGATGGACAGATAGCAGTCAACACTGAGGCAGGCCAACGTGAAGATACCACAGTAGAAATTGATCTGAAGAGAAAAGGAAACAGTTATTACTACAAAACTACTATAATAGACTGCTAATGACCAATTGGAATGTCCAAAAATCATTTAAAAATGTAGTTTAAAACATGCCAGTTCTTATAAATGTATTCATGTTGGCTTCATATGGCTTTGAAATCTTTTTATGAGAAAAAAAAAAAAAGTTTACATTTATTGACAAAAAAATGTGTCATGTGATGCATCCATCAAGTATAAAGTAACAACATATTTAATTATTTATTTACATTTTTTCACACACACACACACACACACACACACACACACACACACACACACACACACATAGGGGCAATGGATATATCTATCTCATAATATTAAATATAGCATTGTAAGATTTATTAGAAATATTATAAATTATTAATTTATAAGCATCATTAATGTATGCAATTTTGGGGAATCACACCACATGACATTTTAAAACCTGAACTAACCTTGCCTTGTCATTAAAAGGTTGAATTATCTGATATTTTAGTCTTATTGACCTTGATACACCGTCATGTGGGTCCGCAGTGGTCCTCTCTATGATATAATTTCTTGTTTTATGTTTTTATTCTGCATGTTGGTTGCACCAAGTGACTTCGATTCATCAGACAATATTTAATAAATAGTAATAAATAGTAGTAGTAATAATAATAAAATATAAATAATAATAAATAGTTTTGTAGTTGTGTAATTCTTTGAAATGTTAAGCCTTTTTTTTCACTATATTTTTTTACTTGTGCCCCCCAAATATCAAAATGAATTTAAATTCAAACAAACTCATCATAAAAGATGTATATTCAAGTCATTTGTATATATATTTTTGAAGTATTTAAAATTAAACACATGGATCTGGACAAAAAAGCCTCAAGTCACTTGTCTAAGTGATGTCCAAAATATTACCATGTTACACAATGTTACTCTAAAAGCTTGGTTTTTTAACTGTTGAAAACAAACAAACTAAATAAAAAAGTCTCTTTACTGGATGCCATCGGAAGATCCAAAACCTGTAATTCCACGCCAATTTGATTTCAGTGTCATTAACTTTTAAACACGCCTGATGTGTGTACAATGAAAACGCTATTTAACCCAAAGACATCTACGAACGTATCAAACCGATACATAAACAAGCCAACAGTAACTCACCTCGAACAGAACTCCAGACAGTTTGCAGAGCTCTACTCCCATGATCCATCCCTTAACCGCATCTACAGCCCAGAGAGGCAGTGTGAAGAGCAGCAGACTGTCTGCTAAACTCAGAAGAAGGATGAAGATGTCCATCACACTCAGGTTCAGCCTCTTAAGCAACAGTATTGCCAGCACCAGTCCGTTTCCCAGCAGCCCCCACAAGAACCCCACAGAGTAAAACAGGGGCATGAAGACCGCCAAAGCGCCAGAGACTGTGCTGGACGGACAGACCACCTCCTTGTACTCATAATCAACATAGTCGAAGGTGTTGTTATTCTCAAACAGTCCGTGCAGGTCCACCTGCATGTTTGATTAAAATAAAAACAGACTTAACCAAGGGTCAATGAGACACTGTAGATTAATATCTGACTGCAGCTATTCGTGAATTGAGTTGTCAGCTGCGGAGAGTGTTTTTTATGTGCAAACAGTCACATGCTGGGTTTCACATGATGTTGCAACAATAGCTAAAAGGAAAGTAAAACTGTGGGTGGAACAGCTGACTGCTGTAGAGCAAACTGAGGGGGTCAATACCCGCGCGCACATTCAAAAACAAGCTCAAATCTCCTGCTTTGACATTGAACTGCTTAGTCGAATTGCTAACACACATATGTGGGTTTGATTTAAGTTTGCAAACCCATTTAGTTGCTCTCGAACGGTTAATTCCGAAAGCTATGGATATCAAAAACTTGATTTGTTTGGTTAGTGAGTTACTATGGTCATAGATTTAGTTCAAGATATCTGTATAACAAACGTTTAAACTCGACACGGCAGAACATTTAGAGGAAACCGATAGTGACAGAATCATGAAACTTTATACGCATCTATAAGGTTACGAGAACACTTACAGGTGTTGCCATGTTCTTGCTTGTCTTTGTTTGTCTTCCTTTCTAAGCAGCCCGCAGTTTCTTTCGTTTACGTAACCCGTTTATTGAGAGTATGTTTGCTCATTACCAATACATTTGGTTACCGTGCACGCGCAGAGTGAAAGAGAAGGAGTAGATACGATGATCCTGCCTTTGTTGATTTTTTTCCCCGTCTTAACCCATTACATCATCCAGGTAGCTCTAGTTCCTTCCTACCTACTATCCCGTGCACTCTTGCCCCAGCTGGTTATATCTAAAAATATCTTACACTAACTTGGTAATGTACACATCCACAAGTGGTTTCAGCAGATGTAGTGCGCCCTCTAGTGTTTGATAGTCTAAAATGCAGCTGCATTAATACCAAAGTCCCTTTAAGGCAGGGGTCTCAAACTCAACTAGCTCCAACTCACACCTGCTTGGAAGTTTCTAGTGATCCTGAAGACCTTGATTAGCTGGATCAGGTGTGTTTGATTAGGGTTGGAGCTAAACTGTGCAGAGCCGTGGCCCTCCAGGAATTGAGTTTGAGACCAGTGCTTTAAGGCAAGTCATGTCACTCGGGGGCCATCTTTGAAATGCCTCTCGGGCATGCAAGTGCAGCTATCACTTTGTGTGGGGAAACATTAAATTCTCCCAAACTGTTCAGTAAGCTTACGATTAAATTTCATATTTGAAATCACCAATGAAATCTGACAAGTTTTTTTTTTTTTTGCTCAAATAGCTTTTTAAAAAGCGTATTTTTTTTCAGGCTAGATCAGCCAGTGCTAAGCGCACCTCAGACCGGGACGCTTCTAACGGCAGCTGCAGTGATGCGCTGACTTTACAGATTAGCAATTGGCTCTTTAATTCAGAAGGCGGGGCTTCCTGCGATTGAGCAGCCATATTGAGCATTGCATTTTTCCCCATTCAAAATTGGGTATTCTATAGTCTTTGCCTATACACAGACAGACACACACAAAAGTTGTGGCTGTTCAGCAATGCTGAAGTGGTGGTTGAGGTCCGCTCCAGTATAAAGCACCTGTTAAGCCCAGATGGTTTTTCAGCGGTTCTTTGGGGTGGTTGAGGTGCTATACCACCAGTGCCATACAAAGAGCCCCTGTATAACTCTGTATAACCAAGTCTCTTAGTTTAGTTGGGGTCTTGGGGAAAGGATTAAAAAAACAACATTAAAATACAGTGTATTTCCTGAAGATAATGTGGTTCTCAAGCTTTTTGATGATTTTGGTGATCTGGACCTTGGCGACTTAAGTTCTCATGTTACTCCATGTGCGAAAAATTTAGGTGTGTTGTTTGATTCAGGTCTCAAGTTCGATAAACAAATTAATTCTGTTGTTAAATCCTGTTTTTATCATTTACGACGTCTCGCAAAAGTCAAACCTGTTCTTTCTTTAAAGAACTTTGAAAAAGTTATCCATGCATTTATTACTTCACGCCTTGATTATTGCAATTCACTTTATTATGGTGCAAATCAATCATCCATCGGGCGTCTTCAAATGGTACAAAATGCTGCAGCCAGGCTGCTGACTGACAGTCGAAAATTTGATCATATCTCTCCCATCTTAACTTCTCTGCATTGGCTACCAGTCAAACTGAGAATAGATTTTAAAATTCTAGTTTTTGTTTTTAAAGCATTACATGGCCTAGCACCAGCGTATCTTTCTGACATTTTACATTATCACAATCCTTCTAGGTCACTTAGATCAGGCAGCCTTGGATTGCTCTCTGTGTGTAGATCGAGGTTAAAACATCGTGGAGACCGAGCTTTTGCGACAGTAGGCCCCAAACTCTGGAACAGCCTACCGGTTTCGATCCGAATGGTGTCATCACTTTCCTCTTTCAAATCAAAACTTAAAACACATTTGCTTAGTGTGGATTTCTAATTTATTATTATTATTTTTTTATTTTTTTATTTTGAGATATTATCATCTGTATCTTTATTTGACTTCTATTATCTGTACAGCACTTTGGCCAGCACTGGGTTGTTTTTAAATGTGCTTTATAAATAAATAATGAATGAATGAATTGCTGCATTAACAGGAAAATAATTATAGTGACATAAACAAAGTTCCAAGTGCCCAACCAAAGGGAACGCTAATCACTATAATGGTGCATAAAAAAATAAAAAAAACAACCATTGTTGTGATTCACGTGCTGAATGTTTAAGTCTGTGTGTGACTTCAGCATATTGTCACACACTATTTAAGGAATATATAAACCCAATTAAAAACACCTCAAGGTATTTCTGACAAATGAAATTTGAAAAAGTTTATTAATAAACACATACAAGAAAATACACTAACGCTTTAACTAGAAGATAGGTCACCTTCTAAAAGCAACCTATTTATTACGTTTCTTCCCTTGAAGCCAAATTACTTTGCCTTCACGATGCATTGCTGCATCACTTTCCTCTTTCAAATCAAAACTTAAAACACATTTGCTTAGTGTGGATTTCTAATTTGTTATTTT